TTTCATTCTATTGGAGTTTGAAGAACAGCAAGTATATCTGGATAGACTTAATATAAAATGTTGCCATGGATGTTGAACCTTTAAGGAACAAATCCTCATCTAAGCCTAATCAATGATGAACAGCTGCTCACAAACAGGGCAGAAAAACCTGCAAGACCCTGAGAGTCTTTATAAACTAGGAAATATCATAAATATGGCAACTGTTATATCTATGTCCACGTTCACACTGATATATTTATGATCATTTAATATTGACATATCTTCATAGAAGTTATTGATAAAAACCAAGTAAAATTTAACTGTGTTGATTCTGTGTTCACATAGTTTTAATTCCCTTGCTTTCCTTCCCAAAGCCTCAAAGTCTTTCACTGTAATTCAACATTTACTGTCAGTGTAAATTAGTTCTGACCGTCTGATTTCATTAAGACAGAATGAGGGAAGCTCAAAATGTTGCATCTCAGAGTCGCTTAAAACCGGAAACATTTTTGCCAAATCATCATTGTCTGTTTGTTCTGTAAAGTTCAGTCTATTATGTTAACTCAAATGTTTAACCTGCAGTTAAAACTATTTACCTTCTCTTACTTCCAGCTTTACTTCAATGTAGATATCTATTGCTCCTTTTATGTTCACTCCACACCAGTATGTTTGTTCATCATCCCAATGAAGATCATAAATGGTCACAGAGAAGATTCTTGATGTTTTGTCATCATAGGTGGAGTATTTGGTCTGATTTGTTTGTGATCTTGTTAAAACATCGTTATTGTCACATGGGTCTTTACACAGATACTTCTCATTATTTTCATAACCTTCGTCATATGAACAAGGAACATTCACGTCTCTTCCTTTGTATCCAAACACACGGATCAAACCTGCAACACGACTCACACAACACACAGCAGCTGGAAACAGGAGAGAACAAAAATATAGTTTATGCAACTAACTTTAATTTTAAATTATTGTCTTTTGCAAAAAATAGAAATTCTTAGTCTGACTCCTCAGCAAACTGTAAGTATATAAATAGAAAAGGCCACATCTATAAAAGACAATGGTTAGATTGTAAATGTATTTATTTAAAAGCAAATAGAAAATCAAAAGTAGTATGTCAGCGACTGCAGAGGGAGCCATCTTGTCTATTTGATTTTATACTACATTTTTATGACGTTAAGATGACAAAATCTTCCCTGCATTTTAAAGCCACTGGAAACAGTTTAATTTATATTAGTAGACAAATTAATACTAAAACTCACCAGATAAGATGAAAAACACGATCTGGAAGCTCCACATCTTTGCACTACTGAGGACGACAAACCAAACCAGAAATAACATTGAAGTGAAGCATGAAGTATTTCAAGGAAACCACATTGATCTGATGAGTTCAGCCCTCTGCACAAACATCAGCAAAACTCATGAGTGAGATCTAAATGATAATTTCCTCTTTTTTTCAAATAAAGAGTTAGAGGAACTGGTCATAGGAAACATGACTGAGGGCTGAGCTGTAGTACTGAGTGCTGCATCATCTCAGCAAGAATATTTTCTGTTTCAATACAAGTAAAGCAGATTTTTCTGTCTATAGTTTATTTATTTTAGATCATTCATTGATGTTCTCCAGGTTCTTTCTCTCATTGCAAAAGCTGCTGATTGTAACAGCATCTAGTGAATAAAAAGTGGATCAAGAAATATGTTGCCACAAATTGAGAGTAGAAATAAAATTTATTTTAAAGTCAAACTGACAAATATTATAGAAACATAAAAATTTCACCATAACAATGTAACGGGTTTAAAATACTGCAGATATAATCTGCATTACTACCTTCATGATTTAAAAAGAAACAAAGGCTGGTTCATCAAAAAGCTCTTATTTATTATTATGTGAGAAAAGTTAATGTAAGAAATCAAACTGCATCATTAAAACAATGATCAATTAGCATCTAAATCTTAAAACTAGTTAGAAGTGTATAATAATTTCCTCTAATTTTATCATTTTGCTTTCCAACAATCAGGAAAATGTTAAAAGTTTGGGTGCTAAAAAAGTGAGATGGCAGCGATAAGAGGTAATGACTCCCCCGTCTTTTTTGTGTCCAGTCCTGGGTGTTTGGACAAATATTCCACCTGGGAGTAGAGACACCATGTGTCGGTTCTGGGAGAGGCCATAAAGAGGGAGGAGTTTTGCACAAAGGTTTGTGGTGTTTCATGATGATGCTTAAGTGTAGAGATGAGATATAGTCCTTAAGACTAGCCAGCAGAAATGAGCAAAAACCTGGTGGGACTGTGCAAGTGTGCTAAGATCATTTTAGGAGCTGCTTCTCAGTGTGTGTGTGTGTGTGTGTGTGTGTGTGTGTGTGTGTGTGTGCGTGCGTATGTATGTGTGTGGGGGTGTGTGTGTGTGTGTGTGTGTGTGTGTGCCTGGGAAACACAGTATACTTCCACTTTACTAAGAAGTCAGGAAATAAAACCAATATTTAATGTTTAGCATTTCTTAAAAATCAGAAAGTAACACAATGGGTGTTTCTTTCTGCTACTTTAGACCCAGGAAACGGAATAAAACAAGCCAGATTCAGAGTTTTATAAGTGAATGCTACACCAATAATGAAAGAACATTACTGAGTAACACTACGGAGTCCATGCCTTCCTCTTTACGAAGCCAATCCTAGAACATGGGGCTGGTTTTTATAAAGTTAATTCCATCTTGCACTAGAGAGCAACCAACTCTGATAAATACACACCATATATATACATGCCAGATATGAATGTGGGGCTCTCTGCCACAAGCTCGGTTTTATTTCATCATCTCACCTTTTATTACGGACTCCTCTGACACACCACGCTGTTCTTCTTCGTCTGCGACGAGTAAAACACCAACAATAATAAACTATTAGTTCATCACCACAATCATCACGTCAAAACGTCTGGTTCTGTGCAAGCAGCTCATGCTTGTACAATTTTTCATCTAACTGGATAAAAAGAATGAATTTGACATTGATTGAAGTCCACTTTTCCCTGATAAGTCTGTTTGAAATGTGTTTAAATAAGAAGAACTTCAGTATGGTTAAAACCAGGCCCATAAACAACATGTTTCTTTGAGGTTGCTCTGTTATACTTCTTGAAATCGACTGCAAATTAAGTGTCTGCTTTGGTCCAGTTAAGCAGAACTCTTTAGATTGCATTTTTGGAGAAGAGAAGATATCCACACATTAAATTTGAACACGTTGAATATGAAGGCGAGAATGAAAGAAAAAAAAAAACAGTTTCATTTCCCCATCTCACCTTCCACTTTGGGCTTTTCAAGCAACATGTTGTTTGTTGCTTTCACTGCAACAAGCAACATGCCAATTCTAAGAAAATGCAAGTTTTCAATACAAAACATAAAAACCATGCATCCATTTTGGTTGTTAGATTTTCAGTTTACGTTTGTATCGCCGTGCTCTGAACATTGTGCAGTGTGAATATACCTTTATAAGACATGCTGCTCTGGTTAGAGGAACATCATGTTGTTACGATGAACACTTGAAGGTTGCAGCATGTCCCTTAGTGCCATGCTTCAAAAATCTGACCCATAATCTTTCAGTCAGATTGAAAGATGTCACAGTGAATATTGATGACTTCCTGTCATCACTGGACACTGAGCCATCCTCACGAACACATTTCAATTCAAAGCTCCAGTTTATTCACATTTATTCTATCATTTAGATGTGCAGTTTAGAGTTTAGATATTTCTCACACTGCTTACACCTGTCATGTTTTGTTCATTTTTACAGATACAATTGCGTTTCCTCATTTGTGCATAGTTTGACATTGTGAGATAATTATTTTATTTTGCTGGTTTAGCTGTTTGTCCTCCTTTCCCTTTTTTTCACCTCTGACAAATGAAAATTGCTCTGAAATAAGATCTAAAAAATCTAATCTGAGTACTTAAATAAAGATTCACATTAATTTAGGCTTAAATAGTCCATTGAGAATTATTTCATATCGTCCCACGACCCCCGCAGACGAAGCTTTGGACGTCCTCTAAAACATCTGCAGCTGATGTGTCTGCAAACCGAAGCTTCGATTCTTTATCTGGAAACTTTTCTCTCTGAAAAAACAAAAAAAGACGCATACGTTATGGAATTGATTTATGTCAATTTTTGTCTTCACATTGAAGACAAAAACAAGCTCACCTTTCAATGTTTTGTGACATTTATTCTTGTAAACTTTAACTAGGACCAATGTCACCATCAGCAGCAGTCCAGCAGCTAAAGCAAGCAGGGCATAGAAAGCTGGATCTGAAAGTTGGTGGAGAGTCGCGTCCATGATTAGAAAAAAGAGAAGAGAAACGTTTATGCACATACAACGCTATTTCTCAAACACATTAAAATAACAACTTAGAGTGTTTGAAGTGAGATAATTAAGGCTTTTAGGCATAAATCCAGGTGGTTTGACTTGAACATGTTGTCACATCGGTTTTAGGAGGAAAAAACACCTTCACATAAACTCCTGAGACACTGATAAAGGCTTCATCCTCTACAGAACCAACTACCTGGATTTATAAGAGTTATCTTCTGCAGGTCACTAACAGAACCTGAAAAATTAAACAAAGGATCATAATGAGCAGAGGTTTTGGTTTGAGCTCTTTTCAATAGACATTAACCAACCAATCTGTCTCCAGATTCTAACCTTGGACAGCAAAATAAATACTGTCTAGTTGGCAAAAAAAAAACAAATCAACCAAATCCTTCAAACAATCCACTAAAGCCAAGAGATGACGTGTTCAGGATACACTTTTCCCCGATGGTTTTCTCTACATAGTGTCACTTATTTTTCTGTTTTCATGCAGAAAGCATCTGCTCTCAGCTTCCGCAGCAAACACAGCATCACCCAAATAGACTGACATGATCTCATGCAGTTGGTGATGGAGCTGGCAAACAGTGGGGATTCACTTATTCTGTAAGTTTGTGCGAACCCAAGAGCACTTGAATCCCATTCAAGCTGAATTTTGGCTGAGTTTAAATTGTTAAATGTTTTTACACCTGATGTACAAAACTGAGGTTGTTTTCAGTGAGGTGGTTTCTGTAGATGCCTCTCTCACCTACAGAAAGATGAAAGCGGGTGGAGTTTCCAACATTCGCCTCTGGGCCGGAGCCACACCAGTACGTTCCAGCATCTCCTGCTTCCAGCTTCGTGACTGTGACAGAGAAAGAGCTGGAGGAAACATTGATCAGAATGAACCGACTTTGATCCATCATGTTTGTGCAGTTGCTGGCTCTGTCTCCCTTGCAGAGAAACATTGTGTCATTGGGATGCTGGGGTGCATAAGGGCACAGGAAGGTCACACTATGCTCCATCACACCACTCATGTTCTGTGACTTTGCACAGCACGACTCTGCTGAATGAAAATAGAGACATTGGTGTTTTTTATTGGTTTTTTTTTTTTGAGAGAAAATAGGATGAAATCACAAAAATCGAGGTAGCCTGCTTGGGTTCTCACCTTTGACCTCTAGTTCAACAGTATAGAAAACATCAAATCCTGAGATTCTCTGGACTCCACAAAGATACGACCCAGAATCCTTCAGGGTCAGACTAGAAATGGTCACTGTGAATATTCTTGACTTCCTGTCATCAGAGAGTCTGAATCGTCCATTTTGTGTGTTGCTAGAGGTGATCACTGCCTGCTGTCGACATGTGGAGGACCGGTTTCCTCTGCAGAAGAACTTCAGCTTGTCGACAGACTGAGAGTCGTACGAACAGCTGATGGTCACTGAACCTTCCTCAGTACTTTGGATTTTATTCACCGTGTCACAACATCTGTCTGACATTAAGATAAACAACAATATAAAAAATAACCTCCTCTTTGAGCATAAAAACAATGCTTAATTGAAAGAAACAAAAAACTCCTCAAGGAATATTGTTATCTTTGTTTGCTGTAATTTATTCCAATTTATTCATGTCTATTTATTTATTTATAATGCAGTAATAAAGCATTACTGCTTTATCAGTATCAAGCAGTAATGGAAGCAGTCAGTGTGTGTATCATGCCTAGTTATAACTTAAATAAGTAACTAATAAAACATTATTTAACCTGCATTACTCAATGAGTACATTAGACACCACATCTAAAAACGGTTATTGTTTGACATGTTTGAAACACCAACTTCAATATTTACCTGCTTTTACTTCCAGCTTTCTTTCAATGCTTATATCTTTTCCTATCCTTGTCACGCCACACCAGTATTTCCCAGCGTCATGAAGTCGAAGGGCAGATATGGTCACTGTGAAAACTCGGGTTGTTTTATCGTCGTGAATGGAGTATTTTCCACTGCTTCCTTGTGACGTTGTTATAAGAACATCGGCGTAACGACAGTTGTTGTTGCACAGGTATTTCTGACGACCCTCGAATCCCCGATCGTAGGGGCAGGAGAGGTTCACGTCTCCGCCCTCATATCCAAACACCTGGATCGAACCTGCAGCGCTGCTTACAGGTGCTGGAGAGAGGAAACATTAACATGCTTTATTTTTTTAAATATTTTTACTTTAAAAGATTGTTTTCTATCTTAATAACTCAATACCAAATGTATCTGTATGTTTCCATGAGTACATGGAGTACCTTCAGTCAGTTCCTCAGAAACCAGTGGTGTTGTGGTTTTCATTGTGGTGCTCTGATGATAATCCACTGCCAGGAAAAAGAAGAAAAAAACTGTCAGTGCAGATTTTATGTTTTTACAGTTAAAGTTAAACCCGAAATGATTCATACTCCTGGGAGATTAAACATTTAGGTCTAAAGAAAGTAGTTAAAGTTTAGAAGTGTGCTTCTTCTTCTTAGAGGAAGCCATGGTGCTGCGGAGAAATCTCAACTTGACTCTGACAGAGAATCTGAGGATGACGGCAAGGAGGATTTCCAAAGAAATGGAGCTCATCAAACATCCAGTGGAAACATGTCAAAAGCTGGTCAGCAACTTTAAAGTCAGCTTGGCTGCTTCAATGCTAATAAAAGGTTTTCAACCTTGTTAATAAGAAGAGTAAAGGTTTCCCACATGGTGTGTTTTGAATGTAAATTAAAGCATCTAAATTATTTTGTTCAAAACTGACACACAGTTCACACTGTTTCATTTCTTGTCAGCAGCTGATTTTGTGATTGTCTGGGAAAAGCTGTAGAAACAAAACCTGCCAGAGGTAATAAACACTTTGGGTTTACAGTTGTATATAAATAGAAATATGATTCTGTCGGTAAATATTACACACTTGTAACACTTGTGGTGATTTCACTAGCGACTTTCTGATTGCAATATTATTCATAATCACTTCCTGAAGTATGAAACGCAGAAAGCCAGCAGCAATCTCATAAACCCTTGTCTTTAATATTCAGGTGATAATTGTAGAGCGTGTGCAGTTTTGTTTGTGCGGCCTCTCAATATATCAAACACACACAGTACCTTTATCCTGTTCCTCTGATGCTGGTGGTGTGGTAGTAATGCTGCTCTGATGCTGATGCACTGTTACAGAAAATAAAACAACTCAATTTTAACACATTGTATTTTTTTTTTTACCGTGATCTTTCGTCTACAGTAGCCAAACATCTCAGCACATTCAGGTTAAGTGAACTCTGAGCATTGAAATTTCCACACATGGTCAGATGATCTATGAAAATAGAAACCAAAGAGGAAAAAAATAACACAAAAAACGTCAACACAAATGCACAGTTTCAAACAAGGAGCACAGTGAAAGCATAAGATCCCCTCTGCCCCGTTTCCTCATGTTTTTCAAAACCTCACCGTCTGCGACAAGATCGAAAACTTTGAGGGCAATTGAAGAAGGTCAGACATTGTCATTTGCTAAACTTACCATTCCTGCTGCAACAAGGAGCCTACTGAAACCGTTCTCTCTGTTTTGTGTGTGTGTGGCCTGGTCTCTCTGTTTTGTGTGTGTGTGGCCCGGTCTCTCTGTTTTGTGTGTGTGTGGCCTGGTCTCTCTCACCTTCTGTCGTGATGCTAGGTGGCAGAACCTCGAGGTTTTTTTCTCCTCTTGCATTTTGTTCTTCTTTTTTCTGTCACAACCCAAGAAGTAAAATGAGGCCAACTGTGTAAAAACAAGAGAAAAATGCAGCTCATGCTGCAGCATCAAGGTCGACAACAATCAATCGAGGACATCCGTGGCATCAATGTTAATGGATCTAAACTGTACATCATAATTTTATGACATATTTTAAAAAAAATTATCAAGCTTAACTAATTTTTGATGATGTTATATTTGTCACCTGTGGGTTTTTTTTTTGTCAATTCTACCCAGATTTCTTTCATTAAGAAATGTTCACTTAAAAGAATTTGAGGTAAGGGTTTCATCTCTCACCTTTGACTCTAGTTCAACAGCAGAGAAAACATCAAATCCTGAGATTCTCTGGACTCCACAAAGATACGACCCAGAATCCTTCAGGGTCAGACTGGAAATGGTCACTGTGAATATTCTTGACTTCCTGTCATCAGAGAGTCTGAATCGTCCATTTTGTGTGTTTCTAGAGTTGAATCACTGCCTGCTGTTGACATGTGGAGGGCCGGTTTCCTCTGCAGAAGAACTTCAGCTTGTCGACAGACTGAGAGTCGTACGAACAGCTGATGTTCACTGAACCTTCCTCAGTACTTTGGATTTTATTCGTCGTGTTGCAACATCTGTCTGACAGGAAGAAAAAAACTGTTTTCTACAGCAAAAGTTACACAAAAATGCAATTCTAAGAAGCAAGAGACAGAAATGTAGAAATCTTTGAAAACTTTGACGTACGCGTCCAGGCCAGAAATAGTAGAATGTTCATATCATATGTTTTAAGTTTTTAACAATTAAATACTGAAATAATATGACAGCAAACAAAAGCACAAATCTCTTATTGTATTGTTTGTTTCATTTGAACTGAAACAAATTTATGATCTAATACAAAACATTCAAAATTTTGATGAAGTTTCAAAATGTGCTTCAAACAATATGAGGTAATATTTTGCTGTTGTTCTGTTTTAGGCAATCTGTGTTCAGTCGTATCAATCTTATTCTCTTCTACGTGAATTTTGTTTTTAAATCATGGCTCATTTAAGTGTAACACTCTCCAGCTGCCATCTTTGTGCTTTATTCAATCAAAAACATCTTATGTCTATATTTCAGCTGCTGTTGTGGTCATAGTCTTGTTCAGTTCGGCAGCATAACTGATCAATGAATTATTTAAACAAAAAAAGGAATCAACGTGGATCATCCATAGTTTTTTTTTTTCTTACTTCTCCTTCTTCTTCTGCCTTTAATTTGTTGCTTTGTCTTATTTCTAAAGACAATCCGTTCAATGTAGAAATGAAATTAGTAGAAAAGTAATTTATCATTCCCGAGTTTTCCACCATCCACCTTGACACACACCGACCTCCCTGATTCAGCTTTTTTCTCTGCATCTACCAGTGAGCTCATACTTTATCATTCGTAGGATTAAGAGTTTGATTATTTACCTGCTTTTTACGTCCAGCTTTACTTCAGTGTAGATGTCTTTTCCTGCTCTGGTCACTCCACACCAATATTCCCGCGTCCTCCAAACGAAGACCAGAGATGGTCACTGCGACGACTCTTGCTCTTTTGTCGTCGTAAACGGAGTATTTGGTTTCATTTTCTTGTGAGGTCTTGATGAGAAAATCACTGTAGCCACAGCTGTTCTTACACAGGTACTTCTGGTATCTCTCATATCCTGGATCGTACGGACAGGAAACCGTCACATCGCTCCCCTCGTATCCAAACACACGGATCAAACCTGCGGCGCCGCTCACACAGCTCAGAGCTGCTGCAGAGAGAAGACAACATTAACTGAGTTTTCAAGTATTTTCTCCTCTTTAACATTGTGTATAATTTTTTATCATTTTCAGATCTGTTCCCATGAAATAAATGCAATGAAAAGCTTGTTCTTTTTCTATTTTTCTTAATCACCTGGCAGAAATATTTGTTTTGAAGAAACTTGTTTGGAGAAAATAAATCAACACCCAGCAAGACAATTTCCTCAAAATCAAATTTTAACTTACTGCACACATGAGCTGCAGGTTTTGAAGGTTCCACATCGTTGGTGAAGACAAGAAACTGAAGCAAAAACCAGAACAAACAGCAGTGAGAAATGTTTCTGAGGAAGCAGTGAGTCAATGAGCAAACAAAACATTCAGAGCACATTTGGCAGATTTAAATCAACAACTGAGCCGATTTTACTTGGTTTTGCTCCAGAATTTGCATGTATTTCACTCTTTCAGAGTCATTTCAACAACAGATTGAGTTGCTTTCACTCTTTCAGCTGTTAGATGTCAAGAATCCACAGGTGGCAATCCAGAGCAACAGCATCACCTTGTGGCCACTGCGGCTTTTATTCATGTATTATTTATATATTTTTACTGTCGGCTGGATTAACGAGCCCATGAATGGAATATTGAAGCAGCTATTTCTGTCGTTGTACCTGAACGTTGCAACAGGAAGTTATTAATCATCATTATTTCACACACACACACACACAGCACACACACACACACACACACACACACACACACACACACACACACACACACACACACACACACACACACACACACCTACTAAGGCATGCTACTCGGTTTTACTGACATCGTGGGGATTCCTACACACATCTACATCCCAGAATAACACGCGACCCAAACTCTTGAAATCTGCCTCTGAAAATACAATCATGAAGCACTTTCATCCCTAAAGCTTCCTGAATGACCCAAACCAAGAACGTCTGGTTCTGGAACTCAATAAAAGGATGTATAAGTTCATACATAATCTCTCTTCTGCTTTTGTTTTCCTATGTTTGGTAAACAGTCACAGCAGTAAATTGTCTGCGAAAATAAAAATAAATAGAAAAAAACATGAATAATACATGAATAATCACGATAAATGAATAATAATTAAAAATAATGGTGGATAAAAAGCTTAAGACCAAATGCAAAATTAAATCATATACAAATCTATTAGTCTCATGTTAAATAAATACAAAATATTACTTTTTATTTAAGTATTTTATATCAGCTTGAGTTATGCAGAACTGATCTGATCATTGCTATGGAAACGATCAGAAGCAGACGTTGCGGCTGAAGTCCAGTGAGGTCACTGATGAGGTCACTGATGAGGTCACTGATGAGGTCATAGATGACATTTACATCACAATAGATCAAAGAGGTTCTGATGCTTAAAAGATTGAATCTGAAAGCATCAGCCAGAAGAAGATACTGGAGCATCAGAGTAGAGCATCATCATTACACAGCAGTCATGTTTGGCCTAGCTAAAGCATTCGTCCCTTTTCTCATCCCCTCGGTTGGGGGAATTGGCTACGCGGTAACCACCAGCATGCAGAAGCTCACGGATCAGTACTTTTCCGGAAGGATTCGAAAGAAAACGCCGATCAACGTGGAGAGGAGGATTTGCTCTGGAAGGGTCCAACACCCACTTCCACAGAACAGACCGACCCGAGTGGGACCTCGGCCTCTATCCCTTCAAGGACCGACCGTACAGAGGACGACACCGCTGCCTCTGAGCAAACCTGCCCGGCTGGGAGGTTTGCTCAGAGCAGACAACTGGTGTGGTGGACTCTGTACCAGACAGTCCTGAGGGGATTCCGACTGTCGACGACGAAAACTGACCCGGCCGGGGAAGTTTGTTCAGAGACGGCGGAACATGAGGGCGAGGGAGCGGTTGTAGAGAAGTCTCCCCCGGCTGGGGAAGACTTGTCTGTGACTGACCTCGCGACCAAAGCTGTGGCTGACGCCACAGAGAAAGCTTTGGTTCCCTGGTCCCATCGTTGGCCCTTCTTTAAATTCTCCTCTCCGCTCGTCTTACACAGGAACTTTTCCAATAAGATGTTCCCTGGCCGAGGAAGCTCAAAATACTCTGTCTGCAACAATTTCCGTTGGCCTGGAGATCGATTGTCCCCCGGAGAGGAAAAAGAAGAAGTCGGCTCAGCTTTCCCAGGGACAGAGGGACGGCATTGGTGGGCCATGGACTGGCGGACGATGGACTCCGCTACAGCTGGGTGGACGCTGCTCTCCAGAGCGTCCTGAACCTGGGCGTCACACGGAGGTGTCTCGCTCAGGAAAGGGACTTTCTGGAGGCTTCGTCCATCCCCAGTTGGACGAGGCTCATCCTCTCTGCGGTCCGTGACCCCGGCAGACTTTTTGTACGGAGGACCTTTTCCCCGGTGTTGATGGAGCTGAGCTGAGAGAGGTGTCAGCCATCGGACCTGGGAAGGGACTTGATATAAAATGTTTGTTGGAGTCGTCCATGGTCTGCTGGACGCTTTCGGAAGTGCCACAGATAGGGAGTTGTACAACAACAACTCTTGTTCTGTCTGTGGCACGATGTTTTCTTGAGCTGCTAAACAACGGCTCCCTGATCTCCCTTCCACCGGTGAGATTTCCAGCCAGCATTGCAACGCTCTTGTACTACTGGCTGGATGTGCGGGGGAAACGCCGTTGCTCAGTGTGCGAGTCGGCCTTGGAGAGAAAGCACTGCCTTACTAACAATAAAGCGTGCTAGTGTTTTTCCTCCACAGGCTGACCAGGAAACACCGGATAGTTTCCAGTCAGGTCGTGGATGTGCCGGCCAAATGCAAAGGTGGTACTGAAAGGTACCACCTGTCTTCCGTTGTTTGTGGGGGATCCGAGCCGACCCACTTCTACACTTATGTAGTGAAAGGGGGACAACTAACCAAGGCCCACAAACCAGAACGTCTGCAGTGTGGACTTCACTGACTGCACTGAGGACATTTCCACTAATGGATTCATTTTATTTACGAAAAATTGTAACATCTGTGACAGTTATACGGCCCCTCGTCCGGAAGATGATGAAGGTGCCTTTGGAGAGAAGCCGAAAATATTAAATTCAAAAGAAAAAGAACCCAGAAGACCTACATTTATGGGACAGGGAAGACCACTGGGAGGGAGGACCACTCGGAGAGGAGGACCACTCGGAGGGAGGACCACTCGGAGGGAGGACCAATCGGAGGGAGGACCACTCGGAGGGAGACCAATCGGAGGGAGGACCAATCGGAGGGAGGACCAATCGGAGGGAGGACCAATCGGAGGGAGGACCACTCGGAGGGAGGACCACTCGAAGGGAGGACCAATCGGAGGGAGGACCAGTAGGAGGCGAGGACACGGAGGGAGGACACGGATGGAGGACCAGTAGGAGGCGAGGACACGGAGGGAGGACCAGTAGGAGGCGAGGACACGGAGGGAGCACATATATAAACATACACATATAAATAGCGAACAGCGAACCCTAATTTAGTTCCAAAAAGAACCTGCAAAAGGTGAAATCCGCGATTTTTCATTATGGAGTATTTATAATGGATTATGAAATAATTATGAAAACAAAACCTTTTTACAGACGGAAGCATTTGTTTAACAAATAAAAGTAGTGAATAAACGTACTGTAAAATGATCATCTTAATCACAAATACGAACGGAGGCTTCAAATTGCGAAGATCAGAACCGAACCACCGCGACCAGAGTTATTGGATTGAAGCGGGTGAAAATGCAAAATGATTGTGAAAACAAAACACAAAGTGCAGAAGGACAAATAGACTCGCGTGTTGCAGCTGCATCGTGTTTCGTTCTGTCGCGGTTTTTTCTTCCAAAGTCCTCTGTGCAGGTGAGTTTTTTCGTGAGAAGAATAAAGTGATTGGTAGTTTTTTTCTTTGCAAACGTAAATTTGGCAAGCTGTTTTCCATACGTGTTTCATATTAAAATGCGACATTATTGACACACATGTAGAGAGAAGCGAAGAGACTGTTTAGCCAATCAGAATGCAGAACACATTGCACGATTAAAATCCGTGAAGCAGCGACACCGTGAAACGCGCATAGGGAGGGTTCACTATATGAATAAATATGATATTCATACACACACACACACACACATACATATATATATATATAATATATATATCTATCTATCTATCTATCTATCTATCTATCTATCTATCTATCTATCTATCTATCTATCTATCTATCTATCTATCTATCTATCTATCTATCTATCTATCTATCTATCTATCTATCTATCTATCTATCTATCTATCTATCTATCTATCTATCTATCTATCTATATAATAAATAAATACATAAATATATATATATATATATATATATATATATATAAAATAAATAAATACCTAAATAAATAATATATATATATATATATATATATATATATTATATATATATATATATATATATATATATTATATATATATATATATATATCAAATAAATAAATACATAAATAAATATATATATATATATATATATATTATATATATATATATATATATATATATATATATATATACATACATACATACATACATACATATACACACACGTACACACACACAAATGTCACTGCAGGTTTGCAGCAAATTATTGTTTAAAACTTAGTGACAAAATCATGTGTGAAGAAAGTCGAACTAATAATAAACATGTTTACCCGATAAAGCAGCTCACCTTCTCAGCCGTAACCTCAGCAGTCAGGATTCATCTGCATTAATGCTTGTTTTGCTCTGGGGATCGACGGAGTTGAATGAATTTGCTGGCTGGGTGGGAGAGGAAGGGATCTCTCTGGAGGTCGAGGACACGGAACTGGAAGTGGGTCTGGACTACAATACAAGCCAACAGCAACATAACAGCCATGTCCCTCTCATAACATGAATCTATGTAGCAATGATCATTTTACTCAAGTAAAAGAAAAAGGTACAGTTCAGTGAAACTACTCTTATAAGTGCCTTTTTTCCAAAAAAAGTTACTCAAGTGAATGTAACCAGCACTACCCACTTTTGAACATAACACTAGTTGGTCACCTTTTAACTAACAGTACCTGGATCCAACAGCATTAATCAACTCAGTCAGTTAGTTTGGGAGAAACAGGTTACGACATGTTAACAATGGATTAAACAATTTTAATTGCTTAACAAAGTGACAGAAGGCACAGATGCTGAATCAAATCAAAGTAGGAATAACATCGTTTCCCACTCTGAGGTAAAAATAGCAAACAGCGTACAGTCCAGGGGGCACGGCTGAGTCCGAGCTGGCCCAGGCCCGCCCATGTCGCCGGGCCTCTGGGGTGGAACATCAGTGGTAATTAGTGACCTGTTCCTTTAAGAATGCCAGGAGGAAGACAAAGAGAACATAATGTTTGGGCTCCAAAGAGGCATTAGCTGAAAACAATGCGTCTGCAAGGCCCAAGCTGGAATTTTCTACTGTTTATCAAAAACGCGACTTTCAGAAGCTTTTTATCTAATTCAGACACTATTTTAGTTATTTATTTAGTTATTAGTTCAAGTCTTTTAAATCCATAGGATAATATGAAGGTTAGGGTTAAAACATTTCTGATTCTTTTGCACAGTCAGCTGACTGCCTCTCCACACTGAATAGTTCATTTAAAGCTATTCTTAACTGTAAGGTTTTCATTCTCGAACGATAGTAAGTTGCCAGAAATTGAATACATGAAACTAATTTCAAAAAAGCTTGGTACCCTGACACACGACACGCCAAGACGTTATTTTTTTATTTCTACAAAGTGAGTCAGAAAATGACCAAAGAAACTCTATTTTGATGCCAGTTCCATCTGTGTCAGCAAAAGTGATTCTCATAAAGCGTTTTTCAGAAAAGAAGAACAACTTCTGCTTCTGTGTTCATGAAGGAAGTTAAACGCAACTAAAAGTATTTTATTCTCGAAGGAAATCACCAATATTTGCAGGCTTTTATCTTTCTCTTGTCAGCAGAGCTAGTTGAGCTTAAATAGATTTGTTCTTAAGAGAAACAAATCCATTTAAGAAAAATATTAAGACATATTCACTACTCAAATTAATATGCTGTTTTTTGGTTCCGATTCCTTTGCTTTAGTCACGTTTTCAGTTCAAAAATTAGATGTGAAACCTGTGATTTACTGTTGTGTCATTTATGCAACATAAAACAAATGATTAAACGACAACGAAGGTAAACAGTCACTTATACAGAATAATACATTTAAACATAATATACACATAAAACATTACTGTTAATGAGATTTGTGTTCCTTTCATCTCCACTTGTTTATTTGTATGTATTTTTATTTACAGGTGGGCAAAATGTAGCTGTTTTTGTGTGGGTAAAAATACGATTGTTTCAATAAAATCAAGCCGCACAAATATGTGCAGTGAAAAAGAAACATTAAAGCGACACAAGTTTGAAGCAAAATTGTTTTTGTAAATCTTGAGACACAGAAAAATGTATTCTGAATAACAATTGCAGTATTTTCAGAGAAGAAAATATTCCTTTCTGAGTGTTTCAGAGAAGCCGCAAAATTAAAACCAACTCTCTGTGTATTAGTGAAGCGTTAAACTGCTCTCCGTCACTTAAATTTATGGAAACTCTCGTTGCCGTAGATGTCCTCAGCTGCTGTGATGTTTTCATAGTCAAGTTCGTCTTCATCCACATCACTAAAGTGACGGCTGGCGTGTTGTTGCTGTGACCTCATCACTATGGAGTCGTGGTTCTGATACACCTGAAGGAAACAGCAGATCACATTTCATCAGCACACGATGCGACAAAGACGATTTCATAAAGACGCTTCGAAATACACAGATGTGCACTGCTGTAGTAATGCTTCGATCTTTGTCCTCGGTTTCACTTCATCTGAAAACATCTGAATGTTGTGAAAAAGTTCAATATTTTGTCAACCTCTCATTGCAGAAAATGAAAGTCACACAGCTCAATTACTCATCCCGTGAAATATTTTAAGCCCTTTTTTCTTGTAAATGTTGACTATTATGGCCTGCAGCGGATGGAAATCCAAAATTCAACGTCTGAAAGAATTAGAATGTTGTGAAAAATGTACGACATATTCTTATAAAGTTGAGTGGAGGGAATTTTTAGACATTTTTGGAAAAATGTCTAAAAATAGCTCGTTTTTTTTTTTTTTTTGCAAATTACGTATCTTTGGTCAGACTGATGTTAAACTTCATTGTGCTTTATAAGACTTTCTAACACTGCAGATCACCCTAAAAACACAGTTCCCCACACTGACACAAGGAAGTGGCAGCATTATGCTGTGGGTTCATGCAGGCGGTTAAGGGGACGCGGATCAGAGTTCATGCATAGATGGACGAAGCATCCAAGGGAATCCTGGGAAAGCCTATAAGTTATTATTATTCCAACAGTACCAAAAAATATTATAACATAAAACTTTAAGTTTGTATTGCAAGCACAAAAACTTGTGTCCACAGATGTGGCGGAAACGTATTTTTAAGATTGATCATGGTTTGGCCTAAAAACTTTGGACAGCAGTTTTCTTACATCTTCTCCCCTGCACGTTTCCTGCACTTCCACGAAGTCGAGCTTTTTACCGTCTGCAACGAAGGCGACGTCTGGAACTACATCACTACAACAAAAATAATAAGAAAACATGCTTATCATTAATAACATAAATATAAATACTTAAATAGTTAGAGGAACTGGTCATAGAAACATGACTGAGGGCTGAGCTGGTTCTGAGTGCTGCATCCTCTCAGCAAGAATATTTCCTGTTTCAATACAAGTAAAGCAGATTTTTCTGTCTATAGTTTATTTCTTTTAGAACATTCATTGATGTTCTCCAGGTTCTTTCTCTCATTGCAAAAGCTGCTGATTATAACAGCATCTAGTGAATAAAAAGTGGATAAAGAAATAAGTTGCCACAAATTGAGGGTAGAAATAAAATTTATTTTAAAGTCAAACTGACAAATATTATAGAAACACAAAAATTTCACCATAACAATGTAACAGGTTGAAAATACTGCAGATATAATCTGCATTACTACCTTCAAAATTTAAAAAGAAACAGAGGCTGGTTCATCAAAAAGCTCTTATTTATTATGATGTGAGGAAAGTTAATGTAAGAAAACAAACTGCATCATTAAAACAATGATCAATTAGCATCTAAATCTTAAAACTAGTTAGAAATGTATAATAATTTCCTCTGCAGTGCATTTCATCATTTTGCTTTCCGACAATCAGAACAAAGATCTTCGTCTGTAACAAAGAGCTGGCTTTGCCAATCCTTCATCTCCTGTGTTTTACATGAAATGGTTGCAGTAGATTTGCTCAGTTTTCGTAGATTGCTGTGTATTCATCTGCATCTCCAGAGAGCAATTCTGTGCGCTGCGTCCTCTTCTGCTGTGAGAACATCGCATGATTGTTGTACATCTAAAAAAGAAGAAATAGATTACAATGGTTGGCGTGGGCGAGTCAGGTTACTGTCAGGTTTAGTTTAACATTAAAATGCAACTCATGTTCGAAGCCCTAGTCCTCGATGCGGCTGTCGTGAATTCGAGTGTTGACTTGATGGCCTTTTGTCTTCCTTCATTCTCACAACCAACTTTCTGTCTGACACCTTTCAAATTAAAGCCTCCGGAGAAAACAAACTCTTGAGAAAACTCCGGAGTAATGTAGCACTGTAATTGTCATTGTGTAAACTAATGTTTTCATATAAAAACTTCTAAAGTGCCGCCTCATGTTGGTACTGGACCGTGTACAAAAAACCATTTGGACTTTGGTTTTCTTACATCTTCTTCACTCGTCACGTCTTGTGCATCTACTGCCTCCAGTTTGCTTGTGTTCATGTCGACTGCTGCTTCAAGTGAAACAAAGCAAATGAAAATAAATTAGCTTTTGTGCACATTTGCCTTTGTTGAAACGAAGACACGAAGCTCACCTGTCAACTGGCGACGTTTGGTCTTGCAAACTTTGACCAGGATGATTATCAGTATCAGCAGCAGAACAGGAAGTGCAGCGAAAAGCCAGTACAAAGCTGCAGATGAAAGTCACAAATAAAGAGTAAAACAAATTCAAGATGAAATTACTTGACTTTCTCAAACACATTAGCCTTAAAGCACCATGCTGCTACAAGTAGGAAGGACTATTAGACAGTCCCTGAAGTCTACATGCTCCTCTATCGCTTCTTTTATACAGTTAGTCTTACTCTGATAATTCTTGAGTTGTAGTTTAGTTTAGAAACTTCTTAAATAACAAATGCTTTTTGCATATGATCACATGCAAAATGTGTTTTCTTCCAGGCTCTGTATACAGCTGCCACTCATAGAGAAGTGAGGTGGTTACCTGTCAAGGGAGAATAATAATTACTCAGAACAAATGGTGTCTACTGTTGAGTGAAACTTGAGCAAATGTTTGTGTAGAAAATGTTAAAAGTTTGGGTGCTAAAAAAGTGAGATGGCAGCGATAAGAGGTAATGACTCCCCCGTCTTTTTTGTGTCCAGTCCTGGGTGTTTGGACAAATATTCCACTGGGAGTAGAGACACCATGTGTCGGTTCTGGGAGAGGCCATAAAGAGGGAGGAGTTTTGCACAAAGGTTTGTGGTGTTTCATGATGATGCTTAAGTGTAGAGATGAGATATAGTCCTTAAGACTAGCCAACAGAAATGAGCAAAAACCTGGTGGGACTGTGCATGTGTGCTAAGATCATTTTAGGAGCTGCTTCTCAGTGTGCCTGTGTCTGTGTGTGGGTGTGTGTGTGTGTGTGGGGGTCTGTGTGTGTGTGTGTGCGTGCGTATGTATGTGTGTGTGTGTGTGTGTGTGCCTGGGAAACACAGTATACTTCCACTTTACTAAGAAGTCAGGAAATAAAACCAATATTTAATGTTTAGCATTTCTTAAAAATCAGAAAGTAACTCAATGGGTGTTTCTTTCTGATACTTTAGACCCAGGAAAACGGAATAAAACAAGCCAGATTCAGAGTTTTATGCGTGAATGCTACACCGATAATGAAAGAACATTACTGAGTAACACTACGGAGTCCATGCCTTCCTCTTTACGAAGCCAATCCTAGAACATGGGGCTGGTTTTTATCAAGTTATTTCCAGCTTGCACTAGAGAGCAACCAACTCTGATAAATACACACCATATATATACATGCCAGATATGAATGTGGGGCTCTCTGCCACAAGCTCGGTTTCATTTCATCATCTCACCTTTTATTACGGACTCCTCTGACACACCACGCTGTTCTTCTTCGTCTGCGACGAGTAAAACACCAACAATAATAAACTATTAGTTCATCACCACAATCATCACGTCAAAACGTCTGGTTCTGTGCAAGCAGCTCATGCTTGTACAATTTTCAAACTATCCTAGATTTATGATCTGCTTTATGAATAAAAGCATCATTATTACATTCAGTTTAAAATTTTAAAAGCAATAGGGTGGCCTCAGTGTATCATCATGCTCTTACCTACAGTCAGATGAAACTGGGTGTAGTTTCCAACGCTCCACTCGGGTCTGATCTACACCAGTATGTCCCAGAATCCTCTGCTTCAGGTTTTGTGATCACCACAGAAAAAAAGGTGGCATTAACACTATGCAGTGTGAATCTGCCTTGGTAAGTCATGTATGTGCAGTTGCTGCGCTGGTCTCCTTTGCAGAGGAACATCATGTTGTTGCGATGATGACGTGGATAAGGACACTGGAAGGTCACCGCACGTCCCACAATGAAACTCACGTTCTTTGACTCCACACAGCACCACTCTGACAAAAAACAACAAGTCACACTCTTCTATGACAATTGATCTCAACAAAGGTAGTTAGTTTGACTTCTCACCTTTGACCTCTAGTTCAACAGCAGAGAAAACATCAAATCCTGAGATTCTCTGGACTCCACAAAGATACGACCCAGAATCCTTCAGGGTCAGACTGGAAATGGTCACTGTGAATATTCTTGACTTCCTGTCATCAGAGAGTCTGAATCGTCCATCTTGTGTGTTGCTAGAGTTGATCACTGCCTGCTGTCGACATGTGGAGGGCCGGTTTCCTCTGCAGAAGAACTTCAGCTTGTTGACAGACTGAGAGTCGTACGAACAGCTGATGGTCACTGAACCTTCCTCAATACTTTGGATTTTATTCACCGTGTCACAACATCTGTCTGATAGGAAGAGAAGAAAGTCTGTCAGGTAGTAAAAGTATAACTGTACAGTTTACCAGAAACATTTGAATTAAATACATCAGCTTATGTAAAGTTGATCACAATCTATTAATTTGAGTGCATTAAAATGTTTTTTTTTTAAACTGCAAAAAACGTAAAACAACAAGAGATATTTAATGCATGCCTACTTGCTTATACAGTAATACTTGAAATATAAATTTAATTAAATATAATTTATTTTTTATTTAAATGATCAATTATTATGTGTGTAAAAAGTCCAGATGTTTCTTTTATTTACATTGTTTGATCAGATTTCAGTCTTTTTAAAGTCTGTCTGACTTCCTGAAACTTCCTGATGTGTCTCAGTTTTTCATTCTATTGGAGTTTGAAGAACAGCAAGTATATCTGGATAGATTTAATATAAAATGTTGCCATGGATGTTAAACCTTTAAGGAACAAATCCTCATCTGAGCCTAATTAATGATGAACAGCTGCTCACAAACAGGGCAGAAAAACCTGCAAGACCCTGAGAGTCTTTATAAACTAGGAAATATCATAAATATGGCAACTGTTATATCTATGTCCACGTTCACACTGATATATTTATGATCATTTAATATTGACATATCTTCATAGAAGTTATTGATAAAAACCAAGTAAAATTTAACTGTGTTGATTCTGTGTTCACATAGTTTTAATTCCCTTGCTTTCCTTCCCAAAGCCTCAAAGTCTTTCACTGTAATTCAACATTTACTGTCAGTGTAAATTAGTTCTGACCGTCTGATTTCATTAAGACAGAATGAGGGAAGCTCAAAATGTTGCATCTCAGAGTCGCTTAAAACCGGAAAAATTTTTGCCAAATCATCATTGTCTGTTTGTTCTGTAAAGTTCAGTCTATTATGTTAACTCAAATGTTTAACCTGCAGTTAAAACTATTTACCTTCTCTTACTTCCAGCTTTACTTCAGTGGAGATATCTTTGCTCCTTTTATGTTCACTCCACACCAGTATGTTTGTTCATCATCCAATGAAGATCATAAATGGTCACAGAGAAGATTCTTGATGTTTTGTCATCATAGGTGGAGTATTTGGTCTGATTTGTTTGTGATCTTGTTAAAACATCGTTATTGTCACATGGGTCTTTACACAGATACTTCTCATTATTTTCATAACCTTCGTCATATGAACAAGGAACATTCACATCTCTTCCTTTGTATCCAAACACATGGATCAAACCTGCAACACGACTCACACAACACACAGCAGCTGGAAACAGGAGAGAACAAAAATATAATTAATGCAACTAACTTTAATTTTAAATTATTGTCTTTTGCAAAAAATAGAAATTCTTAGTTCGACTCCTCAGCAAACTGTAAGTATATAAATAGAAAAGGCCATATCTATAAAAGACAATGATTAGATTGTAAATGTATTTATTTAAAAGCAAATAGAAAATCAAAAGTAGTATGTCAGCGACTACAGAGGGAGCCATCTTGTCTATTTGATTTTATTCTACTGTTTTATGACGTTAAGATGACAAAATCTTCCCTGCATTTTAAAGCCACTGGAAACAGTTTAATTTATATTAGTAGACAAATTAATACTAAAACTCACCAGATAAGATGAAAAACACGATCTGGAAGCTCCACATCTTTGCTACTGAGGACGACAAACCAAACCAGAAATAATTGAAGTGAAGCATGAAGTATTTCAAGGAAACCACATTGATCTGATGAGTTCAGCCCTCTGCACAAACATCAGCAAAACTCATGAGTGAGATCTAAATGATAATTTCCTCTTTTTTCAAATGCTACAACCAAAATGCTTAAAGAGTTAGAGGAACTGGTCATAGGAAACATGACTGAGGGCTGAGCTGTAGTACAGAGTGCTGCATCCTCTCATCAAGAATATTTTCTGTTTCAATACAAGTAAAGTAGATTTTTCTGTCTATAGTTTATTTATTTTAGAACATTCATTGATGTTCTCCAGGTTCATTCTCTCAATGCAAAAGCTGCTGATTGTAACAGCATCTAGTGAATAAAAAAGGATAAAGAAATATGTTGCCACAAATTGAGGGTAGAAATAAAATTTATTTTAAAGTCAAAATGACAAATATTATAGAAACATAAAAATATCACCATAACAATGTGACAGGTTTAAAATACTGCAGATATAATCTGCATTACTACCTTCATGATTTAAAAGAAACAAAGTCTGGTTCATCAAAAAGCTCTTATTTATTATGATGTGAGAAAAGTTAATGTAAGAAATCAAACTGCATCATTAAAACAATGATCAATTAGCATTTGAATATTAAAACTAGTTAGAAATGTATAATAATTTCCTCTAATTTCATCATTTTGCTTTCCAACAATCAGGAAAATGTTAAAGTTTGGGTGCAAAAAAAGTGAGATGGCAGCGATAAGAGGTAATGACTCCCCCGTCTTTTTTGGACAAATATCCCACCTGGTAGTAGAGACACCATGTGACGGTTCTGGGAGAGGCCATAAAGAGGGAGGAGTTTTGCACAAAGGTTTGTGGTGTTTAATGATGATGCTTAAGTGTAGAGATGAGATATAGTCCTTAAGACTAGCCTGCAGAAATGAGCAAAAACCTGGTGGGACTGTGCATGTGTGCTAAGATCATTTTAGGAGATGCTTCTCAGTGAGGTGTGTGTGTGTGTGTGTGTCTGTGTGTGTGTGGGTAAAGTAACACAATGGGTGTTTCTTTCTGCTACTTTAGACCCAGGAAACGGAATAAAACAAGCCAGATTCAGTGTTTTATGCGTGAATGCTACACCAATAATGAAAGAACATTACTGAGTAACACTACGGAGTCCATGCCTTCCTCTTTACGAAGCCAATCCTAGAACATGGGGCTGGTTTTTATCAAGTTATTTCCAGCTTGCACTAGAGAGCAACCAACTCTGATAAATACACACCATATATATACATGCCAGATATGAATGTGGGGCTCTCTGCCACAAGCTCGGTTTATTTCATCATCTCACCTTTTATTACGGACTCCTCTGACACACCACGCTGTTCTTCTTCGTCTGCGACGAGTAAAACACCAACAATAATAAACTATTAGTTCATCACCACAATCATCACGTCAAAACATCTGGTTCTGTGCAAGCAGCTCATGCTTGTACAATTTTTCATCTAACTGGATAAAAAGAATGAATTTGACATTGATTGAAGTCCACTTTTCCCTGATAAGTCTGTTTGAAATGTGTTTAAATAAGAAGAACTTCAGTCTGGTTAAAACCAGGCCCATAAACAACATGTTTCTTTGAGGTTGCTCTGTTATACTTCTTGAAATCGACTGCAAATTAAGTGTCTGCTTTGGTCCAGTTAAGCAGAACTCTTTAGATTGCATTTTTGGAGAAGAGAAGATATCCACACATTAAATTTGAACACGCTGAATATGAAGGCGAGAATGAAAGAAAAAAAAAACAGTTTCATTTCCCCATCTCACCTTCCACTTTGGGCTTTTCAAGCAACATGTTGTTTGTTGCTTTCACTGCAACAAGCAACATGCCAATTCTAAGAAAAATGCAAGTATTCAATACAAAACATAAAAAACCATGCATCCATTTTGGTTGTTAGATTTTCAGTTTACGTTTGTATCGCCGTGCTCTGAACATTGTGCAGTGTGAATATACCTTTATAAGACATGCTGCTCTGGTTAGAGGAACATCATGTTGTTACGATGAACACTTGAAGGTTGCAGCATGTCCCTTAGTGCCATGCTTCAAAAATCTGACCAGAATCTTTCAGAGTCAGATTGAAAGATGTCACAGTGAATATTGATGCCTTCCTGTCATCACTGGACACTGAGCCATCCTCACGAACACATTTCAATTCAAAGCTCCAGTTTATTCACATTTATTCTATCATTTAGATGTGCAGTTTAGAGTTTAGATATTTCTCACACTGCTTACACCTGTCATGTTTTGTTCATTTTTACAGATACAATTGCGTTTCCTCATTTGTGAGATAATTATTTTATTTTGCTGGTTTAGCTGTTTGTCCTCCTTTCCCTTTTTTTTCACCTCTGACAAATGAAAATTGCTCTGAAATAAGACCTAAAAAATCTAATCTGAGTACTTAAATAAAGATTCACATTAATTTAGGCTTAAATAGTCCATTGAGAATTATTTCATATCGTCCCCACGACCCCCGCAGACGAAGCTTTGGACGTCCTCTAAAACATCTGCAGCTGATGTGTCTGCAAACCGAAGCTTCGATTCTTTATCTGGAAGCTTTTCTCTCTGAAAAAAAAAAAAGACGCATACGTTATGGAATTGATTTATGTCAATTTTGTCTTCACATTGAAGACAAAAACAAGCTCACCTTTCAATGTTTTGTGACATTTATTCTTGTAAACTTTAACTAGGACCAATGTCACCATCAGCAGCAGCCCAGCAGCTAAAGCAAGCAGGGCATAGAAAGCTGGATCTGAAAGTTGGTGGAGAGTCGCGTCTGCCATGATTAGAAAAAAGAGAAGAGAAACGTTTATGCACATACAACGCTATTTCTCAAACACATTAAAATAACAACTTAGAGTGTTTGAAGTAAGATAATTAAGGCTTTTAGGCATAAATCCAGGTGGTTTGACTTGAATGTTGTCACATCGGTTTTAGGAGGAAAAAACACCTTCACATAAAACTCCTGAGACTGATAAAGGCTTCATCCTCTACAGAACCAACTACCTGGATTTATAAGAGTTATCTTCTGCAGGTCACTAACAGAACCTGAAAAATTAAACAAAGGATCATAATGAGCAGAGGTTTTGGTTTGAGCTCTTTTCAATAGACATTAACCAACCAATCTGTCTCCAAATTCTAACCTTGGACAGCAAAATAAATACTGTCTAGTTGGCAAAAAAAAAAAAAAAAAAAATCAACCAAATCCTTCAAACAATCCACTGAAGCCAAGAGATGACGTGTTCAGGATACACTTTTCCCCGATGGTTTTCTCTACATAGTGTCACTTATTTTTCTGTTTTCATACAGAAAGCATCTGCTCTCAGCTTCCGCAGCAAACACAGCATCACCCAAATAGACTGACATGATCTCATGCAGTTGGTGATGAAGCTGGCAAACAGTGGGGATTCACTTATTCTGTAAGTTTGTGCGAACCCAAGAGCACTTGAATCCCATTCAAGCTGAATTTTGGCTGAGTTTAAATTGTTAAATGTTTTTACACCTGATGTACAAAAACTGAGGTTGTTTTCAGTGAGGTGGTTTCTGTAGATGCCTCTCACCTACAGAAAGATGAAAGCGGGTGGAGTTTCCAACATTCGCCTCTGGGCCGGAGCCACACCAGTACGTCCAGCATCTCCTGCTTCCAGCTTCGTGACTGTCACAGAGAAGAGCTGGAGGAAACATTGATCAGAATGAACCGACTTTGATCCATCATGTCTGTGCAGTTGCTGGCTCTGTCTCCTTGCAGAGGAACATTGTGTCATTGGGATGCTGGGGTGCATAAGGGCACAGGAAGGTCACTATGCTCCATCACACCACTCATGTTCTGTGACTTTGCACAGCACGACTCTGCTGAATTAAAATAGAGACATTGGTGTTTTTTATTGGGTTTTTTTTTTTGAGAGAAAATAGGATGAAATCACAAAAAATCGAGGTAGCCTGCTTGGGTTCTCACCTTTGACCTCTAGTTCAACAGCAGAAAACATCAAATCCTGAGATTCTCTGGACTCCACAAAGATACGACCCAGAATCCTTCAGGTCAGACTAGAAATGGTCACTGTGAATATTCTTGACTTCCTGTCATCAGAGAGTCTGAATCGTCCATCTTGTGTGTTGTTAGAGGTGATCACTGCCTGCTGTCGACATGTGGAGGGCCGGTTTCCTCTGCAGAGAACTTCAGCTTGTCGACAGACTGAGAGTCGTACGAACAGCTGATGGTCACTGAACCTTCCTCAGTACTTTGGATTTATTCACCGTGTCACAACATCTGTCTGACATTAAGATAAACAACAATATAAAAAAATAACCTCCTCTTTGAGCATAAAAACAATGCTTAATTGAAAGAAACAAAAAACTCCTCAAGGAATATTGTTATCTTTGTTTGCTGTAATTTATTCCAATTTATTCATTTCTATTTATTTATTTATAATGCAGTAATAAAGCATTACTGCTTTATCAGTATCAAGCAGTAATGGAAGCAGTCAGTGTGTATCATGCCTAATTATAACTTAATAAGTAACTAATAAAACATTATTTAACCTGCATTACTCAATGAGTACATTAGACACCACATATAAAAACGGTTATTGTTTGTCTTGTCCTAATCTTTACTGACATGTTTGAAACACCAACTTCAATATTTACCTGCTTTTACTTCCAGCTTTCTTTCAATGCTTATATCTTTTCCTATCCTTGTCACGCCACACCAGTATTTCCCAGCGTCATGAAGTCGAAGGGCAGATATGGTCACTGTGAAAACTCGGGTTGTTTTATCGTCGTGAATGGAGTATTTTCCACTGCTTCCTTGTGACGTTGTTATAAGAACATCGGCGTAACGACAGTTGTTGTTGCACAGGTATTTCTGACGACCCTCGAATCCCCGATCGTAGGGGCAGGAGAGGTTTACGTCTCCGCCCTCATATCCAAACACCTGGATCGAACCTGCAGCGCTGCTTACAGGTGCTGGAGAGAGGAAACATTAACATGCTTTATTTTTTTTAAATATTTTTACTTAAAAGATTGTTTTCTATCTTAATAACTCAATACCAAATGTGTCTGTATGTTTCCATGAGTACATGGAGTACCTTCAGTCAGTTCCTCAGAAACCAGTGGTGTTGTGGTTTTTATTGTGGTGCTCTGATGATAATCCACTGCCAGGAAAAAGAAGAAAAAAACTGTCAGTGTAGATTTCATGTTTTTACAGTTAAAGTTAAACCCGAAATGATTCATACTCCTGGGAGATTAAACATTTAGGTCTAAAGAAAGTAGTTAAAGTTTAGAAGTGTGCTTCTTCTTCTTAGAGGAAGCCATGGTGCTGCGGAGAAATCTCAACTTGACTCTAACAGAGAATCTGAGGATGACGGCAAGGAGGATTTCCAAAGAAAATGGAGCTCAAACATCCAGTGGAAACATGTCAAAAGCTGGTCAGCAACTTTAAAATCAGCTTGGCTGCTTCAATGCTAATAAAAGGTTTTTCAACCTTGTTAATAAGAAGAGTAAAGGTTTCCCACATGGTGTGTTTATTTGAATAAATTAAAGCATCTAAATTATTTTGTTCAAAACTGACACACAGTTCACACTGTTTCATTTCTTGTCAGCAGCTGATTTTGTGATTGTCTGGGAAAAGCTGTAGAAACAAAACCTGCCAGAGGTAATAAACACTTTGGGTTTACAGTTGTATATAAAATAGAAATATGATTCTGTCGGTAAATATTACACTTGTAACACTTGTGGTGATTTCACTAGCGACTTTCTGATTGCAATATTATTCATATTCACTTCCTGAAATATGAAACGCAGAAAAGCCAGCAGCAATCTCATAAACCCTTGTCTTTAATATTTAATATAGGTGATAATTGTAGAGCGTGTGCAGTTTTGTTTGTGCGGCCTCTCAATATATCAAACACACACAGTACCTTTATCCTGTTCCTCTGATGCTGGTGGTGTGGTAGTAATGCTGCTCTGATGCTGATGCACTGTTAGAGAAACAACTCAATTTTAACACATTGTATTTTTTTTTTTTTTTTTTACCGTGATCTTTCGTCTACAGTAGCCAAACATCTCAGCACATTCAGGTTAAGTGAACTCTGAGCATTGAAATTCCACACATGATCAGATGATCTATGAAAATAGAAAACCAAAGAGGAAAAAAATAACACAAAACATGTCAACACAAATGCACAGTTTCAAACCAGGAGCACAGTGAAAGCATAAGATCCCCCTCTGCCCCGTTTCCTCATGTTTTTCAAAACCTCACCGTCTGCGACAAGATCGAAAACTTTGAGGGCAATTGAAGAAGGTCAGACATTGTCATTTGCTAAACTTACCATTCCTGCTGCAACAGGGAGGCCTACTGAAACCGTTCTCTCTGTTTTGTGTGTGTGTGGCCCGGTCTCTCTGTTTTGTGTGTGTGTGGCCTGGTCTCTCTCACCTTCTGTCGTGATGCTAGGTGGCAGAACCTCGAGGTTTTTTTCTCCTCTTGCATTTTGTTCTCCTTTTTCTGTCACAACCAAGAAGTAAAATGAGGCCAACTGTGTAAAAACAAGAGAAAAACGCAGCTCATGCTGCAGCATCAAGGTCTACAACAATCAATCGAGGACATCCGTGGCATCAATGTTAATGGATCTAAACTGTACATCATAATTTATGACATATTTTAAAATAATTTATCAAACTTAACTAATTTTTGATGATGTTATATTTGTCATCTGTGGGGTATTTTTTTGTCAATTCTACCCAGATTTCTTTCATTAAGAAATGTTCCACTTAAAAGAATTTGAGGTAAGGGTTTCATCTCTCACCTTTGACCTCCAGCTTAAGGGCAGAGAAAACATCAAATCCTGAGTTTCTCTGGATTCCACAAAGATAACCCAGAATCCTTCAGGGTCAGACTGGAAATGGTCACTGTGAATATTCTTGACTTCCTGTCATCAGACAGTCTGAATCGTCCATCTTGTGTGTTGTTAGAGTTGATCACTGCCTGCTGTCGACATGTGGAGGGCCGGTTTCCTCTGCAGAAGAACTTCAGCTTGTCGACAGACTGAGAGTCGTACGGACAGCTGATGGTCACTGAACCTTCCTCAGTACTTTGGATTTTATTTCGTCGTGTTGCAACATCTGTCTGACAGGAAGACAAAAACTGTTTTCTACAGCAAAAGTTACACAAAAATGCAATTCTAAGAAGCAAAGAGACAGAAATGTAGAAATCTTTGAAAACTTTGACGTACGCGTCCAGGCCAGAAATAGTAGAATGTTCATATCATATGTTTTAAGTTTTTAACAATTAAATACTGAAATAATATGACAGCAAACAAAAAGCACAAATCTCTTATTGTATTGTTGTTTTCATTTGAACTGAAACAAATTTATGATCTAATACAAAACATTCAAAATTTTGATGAAGTTTCAAAAATGTGCTTCAAACAATATGAGGTACTATTTTGCTGTTGTTCTGTTTTAGGCAATCTGTGTTCAGTCGTATCAATCTTATTCTCTTCTACGTGAATTTTGTTTTTAAATCATGACTCATTTAAGTGTAACACTCTCCAGCTGCCATCTTTGTGCTTTATTCAATCAAAAACATCTTATGTCTATATTTCAGCTGCTGTTGTGGTCATAGTCTTGTTCAGTTCGGCAGCATAACTGATCAATGAATTATTTAAACAAAAAAAGGAATCAACGTGGATCATCCATAGGTTTTTTTTCTTACTTCTCCTTCTTCTTCTGCCTTTAATTTGTTGCTTTGTCTTATTTCTAAGGACAATCCGTTCAATGTAGAAATTAAATTAGTAGAAAAGTAATTTATCATTCCCGAGTTTCCACCATCCACCTTGACACACACCGACCTCCCTGGATTCAGCTTTTTTCTCTGCATCTACCAGTGAGCTCATACTTTATCATTCGTAGATTAAGAGTTTGATTATTTACCTGCTTTTACGTCCAGCTTTACTTCAGTGTAGATGTCTTTTCCTGCTCTGGTCACTCCACACCAATATTCCCCGGCGTCCTCCAAACGAAGACCAGAGATGGTCACTGCGACGACTCTTGCTCTTTTGTCGTCGTAAACGGAGTATTTGGTTTTATTTTCTTGTGAGGTCTTGATGAGAAAATCACTGTAGCCACAGCTGTTCTTACACAGGTACTTCTGGTATCTCTCATATCCTGGATCGTACGGACAGGAAACCGTCACATCGCTCCCCTCGTATCCAAACACACGGATCAAACCTGCGGCGCGCGCTCACACAGCTCAGAGCTGCTCAGAGAGAAGACAACATTAACTGAGTTTTCAAGTATTTTCTCTCTTTAACATTGTGTAATTTTTTTATCATTTTCAGATCTGTTCCCATGAAATAAATGCAATGAAAAGCTTGTTCTTTTTCTAATTTTTTTTAATCACCTGGCAGAAATATTTGTTTTAAAGAAACTTGTTTGGAGAAAATAAATCAACACCCAGCAAGACAATTTCCTCAAAATCAAATTTTATAACTTACTGCACAACATGAGCTGCAGGTTTTGAAGGTTCCACATCGTTGGTGAAGACAAGAAACTGAAGCAAAAACCAGAACAAACAGCAGTGAGAAATGTTTCTGAGGAAGCAGTGAGTCAATGGAGCAAACAAAACATTCAGAGCACATTTGGCAGATTTAATCAACAACTGAGCCGATTTTACTTGGTTTTGCTCCAGAATTTGCATGTATTTCACTCTTTCAGAGTCATTTCAACAACAGATTGAGTTGCTTTCACTCTTTCAGCTGTTAGATGTCAAGAATCCACAGGTGGCAATCCAGAGCAACAGCATCACCTTGTGGCCACTGCGGCTTTTATTCATGTATTATTTATTAATTTTACTGTCGGCTGGAATTAACGAGCCCATGAATGGAATATTGAAGCAGCTATTTCTGTCGTTGTACCTGAACGTTGCAAACAGGAAGTTATTAATTATCATTATTTCACACACACACACACACACACACAAACACACCCCCCCCCCACACACACACACACACACACACACACACACACACACACACACACACACCTAGTAAGGCATGCTACTCTGTTTTACTGACATCGTGGGGATTCCTACACACGTCTACATCCCAGAATAACACGCGACCCAAACTCTTAAAATCTGCCTCTGAAAAACAATCATGAAGCACTTTCATCCCTAAAGCTTCCTGAATGACCCAAACCAAGAACGTCTGGGTTCTGGAACTCAATAAAAGGATGTATAAGTTCATACATAGATCTCTCTTCTGCTTTTGTTTCCTATGTTTGGTAAAATAGTCACAGCAGTAAATTGTCTGCGAAAATAAAAATAAATAGAAAAAAACATGAATAATACATGAATAATCACGATAAATGAATAATAATTAAAAATAATGGTGGATAAAAGCTTAAGACCAAATGCAAAATTAAATCATATACAAATCTATTAGTCTCATGTTAAATAAATACAAAATATTACTTTTTATTTAAGTATTTTATATCAGCTTGAGTTATGCAGAACTGATCTGATCATTGCTATGGAAACGATCAGAAGCAAGACGTTGCGGCTGAAGTCCAGTGAGGTCACTGATGAGGTCACTGATGAGGTCACTGATGAGGTCACTGATAAGGTCACTGATGAGGTCACTGATGAGGTCATAGATGACATTTACATCACAACAGATCAAAGAGGTTCTGATGCTTAAAAGATTGAATCTGAAAGCATCAGCCAGAAGAAGATACTGGAGCATCAGAGTAGAGCGTCATCATTACACAGCTGTCATGTTTGGCCTAGCTAAAGCATTCGTCCCTTTTCTCATCCCCCTCGGTTGGGGAATTGGCTACGCGGTTACCACCAGCATGCAGAAGCTCACGGATCAGTACTTTTCCGGGAAGGATTCGAAAGAAAACGCCGATCAACGTGGAGAGGAGGACTTGCTCTGGAAGGGTCCAACACCCACTTCCACAGAACAGACTGACCCGAGTGGGACCTCGGCCTCTATCCCTTCAAGGACCGTCCGTACAGAGGACGACACCGCTGCCTCTGAGCAAACCTGCCCGGCTGGGGAGGTTTGCTCAGAGCAGACAACTGGTGTGGTGGACTCTGTACCAGACAGTCCTGAGGGGATTCCGACTGTCGACGAACAAACTGACCCGGCCGGGGAAGTTTGTTCAGAGACGGCGGAACATGAGGGCGAGGGCGCGGTTGTAGAGAAGTCTCCCCCGGCTGGGGAAGACTTGTCTGCGACTGACCTCGCGGCCAAAGCTGTGGCTGACGCCACAGAGAAAGCTTTGGTTTCCCTGGTCCCATCGCTGGCCCTTCCTTTACATTCTCCTCTCCGCTCGTCTTACACAGGAACTTTTCCAATAAGATGTTCCCTGGCCGAGGAAGCTCAAAATACTCTGTCTGCAACAATTTCCGTTGGCCTAGAGATCGATTGTCCCCCGGAGAGGAAAAAAGAAGAAGTCGGCTCAGCTTTCCCAGGGACAGAGGGGACGGCATTGGTGGGCCATGGACTAGCGGACGATGGACTCCGCTACAGCTGGGTGGACGCTGCTCTCCAGAGCGTCCTGAACCTGGGCGTCACACGGAGGTGTCTCGCTCAGGAAAGGGACTTTCTGGAGGCTTCGTCCATCCCCAGTTGGACGAGGCTCATCCTCTCTGCGGTCCGTGACCCCGGCAGACATTTTTGTCCGGAGGACCTTTCCCCGGTGTTGATGGAGCTGAGGGAGAGGTGTCAGCCATCGGACCTGGGAAGGGACTTGGATATAAAATGTTTGTTGGAGTCGTCCATGGTCTGGCTGGACGCTTTCGGAAGTGCCACAGATAGGGAGTTGTACAACAACAACTCTTGTTCTGTCTGTGGCACGATGTTTCTTGAGCTGCTAAACAACGGCTCCCTGATCTCCCTTCCACCGGTGAGATTTCCAGCCAGCATTGCAACGCTCTTGTACTACTGGCTGGATGTGCGGGGGAAACGCCGTTGTTCAGTGTGCGAGTCGGCCTTGGAGAGAAAGCACTGCCTTACTAACAATAAGGTGCTAGTGTTTTTCCTCCACAGGCTGACCAGGAAACACCGGATAGTTTCCAGTCAGGTCGTGGATGTGCCGGCCAAATGCAAAGGTGGTACTGAAAGGTACCACCTGTCTTCCGTTGTTTGTGGGGGATCCGAGCCGACCCACTTCTACACTTATGTAGTGAAAGGGGGACAACTAACCAAGGCCACAAACCAGAACGTCTGCAGTGTGGACTTCACTGACTGCACTGAGGACATTTCCACTAATGGATTCATTTTTATTTACGAAAATTGTAACATCTGTGACAGTTATACGGCCCCTCGTCCGGAAGATGATGAAGGTGCCTTTGGAGAGAAGCCGAAAATATTAAATTCAAAAGAAGAAAAAGAACCCAGAAGACCTAACATTTATGGGACAGGGAAGACCACTCGGAGGGAGGACCACTCGGAGGGAGGACCACTCGGAGGGAGGACCACTCGGAGGGAGGACCAATCGGAGGGAGGACCACTCGGAGGGAGGACCAATCGGAGGGAGGACCAATCGGAGGGAGGACCACTCGGAGGGAGGACCAATCGGAGGGAGGACC